CCGTTTGTATTATTCGTATACGCGATAAACAGTCGGCGTTCGAGTGTTCGGGTCCCGCCCTATACGTAATAGTATAATCGTAATCGGCTAGCTGTAACCGCCAGCGCATAAGTTGCGACGATGCGTCTTTAATACCAAACAGGTATGTTAATGGTCGATGATCCGTTATAATGTTGAAATGACGACCATATAAATAAGGTCTGAAATATTTTACGGCCCAGACGATGGCTAATAATTCTTTTTGGATAACGCTATAGTTGCATTCAGCTTTGTTTAATGTCCTACTCGCGTATGCGATAGGTTGGTCTTTAGGAACGGTCCCTTGTGACAAGATGGCTATTGAATATTGGCTTGCGTCGGTCATTAAGTTGAACTCCCCGTTTTTCCAATCTGGATAGACTAGTAATGGCGGGTTCATTAAAGCTTTTTTTAGTTCCTCGAAACTATGTTCGCAGTTATCGGTCCATACGAATGGTACGTTTTTTTAAATTAATAAGTTAATGGTTTTGCGATCGACAAAACGTCTGTAATAATTTAGTAGTCCTAAGAATGACTTGATATCCCTCGCATTTTTTGGTCGAGGATATTCTCGAATACATTTTAGTTTGTTTGGGTCCGGGGAAACTCCAGTTTAATTTATTACGTGTCCCAAGTACAATACTTCTTTCCGTAAGAAAGAACATTTATTGGGTTGTAATTTAAGTTTGTGTACGCGCAGCCTATTGAATACCTGTTCTAGTTTTTTCTGGTGGTCCATCAAACTGGATCCGTGCACTACAATGTTATCAAGATACGCAGTACACATTTCCTCGAGGCTCATGAGTACAGATTTCATTGCGAGCTTAAAAGTAGCTGGAGCTGAACTCAGCCCGAAAGGCATGCGTAAAAATTCGTAGTGACCGGATTTCGTAGAAAAAGCTGTTTTATCATCAGGGTCTATATGAAACTGATGATACCCTGAAGCCAAATCCAACGTACTGAAGTACTTGGACGATCCTAGGGATTCTAATATCTCTAATAAATTTGGGAGGCCATAAGCTTCATTCTCGGTTACTTCGTTAAGTTTTCGGAAATCTACGCATACTCGTAATTTGGGTTTCCCTGTCGGATCTAGATTTTTCTTTTTCACTACTACGAGTGGAAAGTTAAAAGGTGATTTAGAATCTCGTATAATATTGTTATGTTTCATTTCTTTAATTTGTTTTTCAATTTCTTCTTGGTACGCCCAAGGTAAACGATACGGTCGTATGTTAATTGGTTTTGTACAACGCGGTGTGTTTATTGTGTGTGTCACGATTCCTGTGGCGCTCAAATAGTCGCCCGGTAGGTAAAACAGGTCCGCGTAATTACAACAGAGTTCGAGAATACTTTCGCGTTCCTCTTTATTTAAATCGTCGGTTTTAATCTCGCGTTTAATCTGTGTTATACGATCGCTTGGTTCGGCATCTGCGAAAGATGCAGTTAATACGTTTTCGTTATACGGCTCCCACTCGATATGTTGTATGGTAAGCTCGTCTATTACGAATGGTTCCTCCGAAATATTTATTACGTTACTAATAATGTTATCTTTATTGACCGGACTTATACTGTTCGCGATTATTACGTTTTCGTTTACGTCCTGTTTTTTTATAGTGATATTCTCGTGACTTATGTTTTCGTCATTTTTAATAAGTAGTACACAATTGCTACGCGGTGGTAATATAATTTCGTTAAAACCAGTTTTTTCGGGTATAGTTAATAAATTTTGGCTATAGTCCATAATGACCTTGTTTTGTTTTAAAAAGTTACGACCGATGATGCCTGACTCGTTTATTGGAAAATCGCCAAAAACGACGTCGAATTTTATGAGCACATCTACACCGTTAATTTGCATACTGGTTAGTATTGTACCTATGGTGAATATAGGAATTTCATTAATGCCTTTTATTGTGCGTTTCGCGGATTCGTTTACTACGACATGTACTTCTAACGCGGTTATTTTAATAAGATTCATCTCCGCGCCGGAGTCGACTAATAATTTAATTTTACGAGGTTTGAAATTATCTGATGCACATATTATATGTTCCTCCTCGAAATTGGCTACAACTCTTACATGATTTTGGCTAATTTCATTTACTGTGCGGCTGGTGCTAGAACTTTCACCTTCCTTATTATTCGTTTTTTTACTTTCGTTATAAATACGTTTCCTACAATCTTTTATGTTGTGGTTTGTTTTTTTACAGTACGCGCAGAATCGAACTTGACCCTGGTATTCGCGTTTTACTATACTGGTTTTGTCATCGCGATTGTTAATGGGATTCCTAAAATTTGTGCTGTATGATGTACCGGCGTTACTGCGGCACTCATTTGCATAGTGGCCCATCTTGCTACATTTATTACATTTAATATTCTTTTTATTCGCGTTATTTTTCCCGTAATTATTTCCCGTGTTATTACGTCTATTAATATGTTGGAGGTCCTGTTCCTCCTCGATCGCGATTGTAATGGCTTTTTCGAGCGAAGATACGTCACGCGCTCGTAAAAATGACCTAATTTCGGGTTTTGCCCCGTTAACGAATGCAGTAAGCGCCCCCAATTTGTGTGATGAGGCTACCGCTGCGGCTGATGCTGCCTCTAGTCCTAGTGTTAATGCTCCTACTAATTCATGATAGCATTTTTCAGTTCGCCCAGCAAAACTACGAACGTCCTCGTCGGATCGTTGTCTAATGTTACTAAGTTGTGATTGCAAATAGTTAATTGAATGTGGTGCCCCAAAAACGTTCCTAAGGTGGTTTTTGAGTTCTGACCAGTTCGAGAAATTTCGGTAACGAGTAGCTTGGTAAGCGTCTCCCTTCAGTTTGGATAGTTTATTGCGAAATACTACTGTTACAAGATTTTCATGGATATTTTCCATTACGTAATTACATTCTGTTATATATGAGGCTAGTTCTACCTCGGTACCCCCGCTAAAGTTAGTTATGCCGCGCAAGGCGGAGTCAATTCCTAATGTTACGCTCATGACTGTCGTTTGTAAAGTTTGCGGGTTATATTTAACTACTGCCCAACACCTCGGACTCTCAGACATATACTATATAATTGCTTGTTAAAAATAACAACTTACAATGTGTTACTCATTGCGATTTTTGTCTGGTCCTGATTGCTTGCGTGCTGACGGCTCTGCTGACTCGTCGTTGATGCTCCGCTTGGCTTGTTGAGTGAATTTGGTTGAAGTTGGTGGCTTGGCTTGCTTCCTTCCTATGTATCAGCGTCGTGGATGAACTCGAGGTCCGCTGATGTACTTGGATCCAGGTTGGTTACTGGAAAACTTCCTTCAGATGACCCCACACCTGACACCAAAAGACGTGTAGTGATCCCTCACTAACGCTTATATTTTTGAGTTCAAAGACGTTGACGGTTGAATAGGAGAAAAGGTTGCAGAGACAAGTTACACAAGTTAGGTATAAGTAGTTTATTAATGTTTTAAAAAGTAAATGATCACAATTAAGTGAAATATAAATTTGAGGACAGAGCGAAAAGCATCTGCCCGAGAAGTTAGTTACGTACAGTATGTACGTAGTGCAAACTCTAAACTAATTCTAATTTTGCAATAGACATCATCTTATATTTATATGAAATCTATGCGGATATAAAAGTAGACGGTAGAGTCTAGGAGATGGATATTTGAAAGGAGCCTGGAGGTAGATGTTGTTATTGCCAAAAGACCCGAGTGGTTGATTGGCAATTTAATAAGTTTGTTTTCGCATTATTTTGGCAAAGCGAAGATTCGCAAATTAATCGTTAGATTAGTTTTTTAATTGCTCTGTCAAATCCAAGGTTTGAAAAAGATAAGTTTTAATTGTGCTGTCAAACCCAAGGTATTGCAAAAGATTCCTAGTCTTGTTGTTGTCCAGCGTGACATCGTGAGAAATGTAATTATAATATTGAATATATAGGAAACGACTCTGTCGGTTTACTACACCACTGTGAACGATATTGATATGGCTGATATTCAGCCGGGTAGAAATGAACTAGATATACCAAAACAATTAGAGGGTCGTTCAAAAATTAATGTGAACGATTGGTGTTTATGTAATAAATGTATTTGGTTTACTACTGACCAAGAGTGTATTTGTTGCTTTGAGTTAGAAAAATTACATAAATTACTACCACATAGTAACAAAAAAACATGTATAACGGAGATAAGCTCATTTTCAAAAATTATTTTAGATGAAGAAGTAAGTCATATATCAGGTACCTACATAATAAAAACACAGTAGATACAGTTTTTTAATTTTGCCCTCGATATTATTTATTGCGTTTATTAGGTTCTCAATATTACTCGACAGCAAATCATTGTCAAATCAAAAAATAAAAGCAAAAAAAAAATGTTATGTTCGTCACAACCAACAAATAAGATGTGGAGGTATATTTGTTATAAACAATTTACTCATTGGATTAACTCGTGGAATTCTATAGGAAAAGGTAGGATGACTACAAGTCCATTCATAATATAATGCAATATGTTAACTAATGCTTTTAAATATGTATAGGAACGTATAAATACAAGTGATTACATTTTTGGTTTTATATAGGTAATCGTATTGTTATTCCATCGTGTGTTGTAAATAAAATTCGGCAGAAATATCCGGAACAAGACGGTTGTTATTGTTGGTTATAAATCATGTACACTGTAAACATAATATATTACTTATATAATATAACCATAATATAACTATTATTAATATATAAAATATAAATATTTCAATATTTGTAATATTAATGAGAACACTTCTTATTTTTTTCTTAATTTTCTTATTTTTAAACATACAATATTCATATATTTATTTTAATATGACGTAGGTACAATGTACCTATTTTATAATATTATCTTTATGTCCTATAAGTTATAACCATATCAATCAATATTATAATATATTTTATGTTTTGATATTAAAGTACATATATTAAAATTAAAAATTATTCACATTAAAATAAAATGGTGTAATTTATTTTAGGGGAAAATGGTTCTTTGTTCTGTATTTGGTTGCAATTCAAATAATGATAAGAAAAGGGCAACTTGCAGGCAATCTGAAAATATAAATTTTTATAGTTTTCCAAAAAGAAATAAATCACCACTTAGATTTAAACAATGGTTAGTGTTTTGTAAACGTAAAGATTTTGTCCCGGGTAGTGGATCTAGAATATGTTCAAAACATTTTCAAGAAAAAGATTTTACAGAATCGAGTAAACTACAAAAACAGCTACTGCCAAATGAAAAAATAAAGTTATACTTAAATTCCGATTCTATTCCAACTATTTACAAAGTCGATGATCTTAGACCCAAAATACCTCGAAGTATAAGAATATCAAGAAAAAGAAACGAAGAAGATATACCAAAACTAAATTCAACAAACATCGGTAAAAAATTAAAAGTTGACAATTTCGTAAACGATTTTAATGAATCTGATTCCGAAGACGATAATGTACTAGATATTGATAATCCAAATTGTATTTACTTCAGTGATAATCCGAATGATAAAGGCATACAGTGTGATTTAGGCAATGAGTGCTACAAATTGTATAAGCCTACAAATGACATATCTTTTGAAATAGAAAACCAAGAAGAAGAAGAAGAAGCGTATGAAGAAGAAGAAATTTATGAATGTAAACAGACACCAAAAAAACCATCATCAAAAATAGAAGAAAATTCTTGTTTTTTTGTATTTTGGGATTGTTTATTGACACTTTTTAATCGTTGCCGTCAATGTAATTCTACAGTTGTATCCGTCCAACATTATATCCAAGGGGCATTACTCTCTGTTATAACTATATGTGATAGAAACCATAAATTAATTTGGCGTTCACAAAATAAGAATAATAAACGTCCATTAGGAAATATATTGATTGGATCTGCTTTGACTTTATCCGGAATTCTGTTCACACAATTTTTAGCTTTCTGCGATTCATTAAAACTATCATTTTTTTCTCGTCCGGTTTATGATAAAATAATTAAGCGTTATACTGGACCAGTCATTTGTAATATTTGGGAAGATCAAAAGAAAAGTACAATTGACAGTATTAAAAATTCAGAAAATTATATTTGGTTAGCCGGAGATGGGCAGTTTGACTCTCCAGGCTTTTGCGCCAAGTATTGCATCTATTCGGTAATGGATTTACGAAGCGGAAAAATAGTAGACTTTAAACTTGTACAAAAAGGTATGGTAAAGGGAGACTTAGAAAGAAAAGGTTGTGAATTATTACTTAATGATCTGACCAAAAACCAAAATTTTAATATTAAATTGTTTCTTACTGATCGACATAAAGGAATTCGTTTTTACATTAGAACACAACATCCTGATATACAACATGAATTTGATGTGTGGCACCTATCTAAAGGTTTGATGAAAAAAATGAAAACCTTAGAAAAAAAACATGAAAATGCATATTTATGGAAAAGTAGTATTAATAATCATCTTTGGTGGGCTTCGCAAAACTGCAAAGGTGACGGTCAATTATTGGTTGAAAAATTCACGTCTCTACTACATCACATAAAAAATGAACATGAATGGGAAGAAAATGGAGTAACAAAAACATGCGATCATGATCCATTAACAGACGGAGAAATAAATAAAAAATTATGGTTAAAATCCGATGACGAATCATACTATGCATTAAAAAAAATTATAACTGCCAAAGATTTTATAAAAGATTTGCCACATGCAAAACATTTTGTGCATACTGGCCGCTTGGAATCTTATCATAATGTAAGGCTCAGGGCCGGCTCAAGCAAAAATAGTGCACTAGGCAAAACCTAAATTTGCCGCCTCTAAAAAAATTTGAGCTCTAATTTAAACTTAGCCCCTCCCCCTATTTTTTATGTGACATAAACACCTACATGAAAATTTTTTTTATTTTTTTATTTTAAAGGAATAACAACTAGTGTTGGGACTATTGGGTTATTTTTATATATTTTTTATATTAATGTCATATTTGTACAGTTATATAATATAACTGATAATAAATTCATTAGGTAGGTACACATATTTACATTTTAAGAATTCATAATAATATATTCAAATATTTATTGCTTTATAAAATATTTTTCACTTTTAACCTTACAAATAATTAAACCTTTGTCATAATTTTAAGAAATAAAAATTATAATAATAATATTGATAAAATAAAATAAAACAAACTTAATTTTATTTAAAATTGACTTTTCTTGCTTTTAGTGAAGCAAAGCTCTGTATAAGTTCATCCATGTCTAATTCTTCAGCAATTTCACTTTCAATAGATAGAGTGGCTAATCCTACTAATTGGTCTTGAGATATATTTGTTCGCAAATAATTTTTTAATATTTTAAGTTTTGAGAAACTCCTCTCGGCTGTTGCAGCAGTTACAGGTAAAGTCAATAGAATCCTTAGTATAACATAAGTATTAGGGTAAAGTTCTATCAACTTGTTTCTACATATGTACGTAAGAATTGATTTCGGATCACACGTTTCGAAAGTAAAACGTTTTTGCAAAGATATAATTTCACCATACAATTCAACAGCAACTATATCCGTACTTAATCCATCACTTGAAGTTAGGGCTATTTGTAAATCTTTACAATTTTTCATAAGTTCATCAAAATCAGAAATTTCAGTTATATTATAGAGAAATGAAAATAAATCGCTGTGATCTGTAAGTTGTGAAAATCTGTCATTGATTGATTGAATAGCAGTGTCTAAAATCTGATTGAAAAAGTTAATTTTAAAACTTTGTTTTGGGTCATGAATAGGTTCGTCTCGTGATTCATATGCAAATTGAGTAGTTCTACGACGAATTCGAGTTGGGACAGGAAAGTTAGCCTCAATTTGAAGTTCATTTGCTAGTGTCTTAGCTTGTCCTAACGTCTTTTGAAAACCTTCATCTGTACGATATTCTTTCAAAAATATTATTGTATTCTTTAATTGTGTTATAGTTTCTGAAATATTCAATGACACAGATTGAAGTAATTTACTTGTATGGTTAATTTCGAACAATATATCATACCAAATAACAAGACAACACAAAAATTTAAAATCAACTAATTTTTCAGCAATACTTTTAGCTTCTGCACGACATTTTACTCCAGTTGCATTCACAAGTGTTAAGTCTTCTACAATTTCTATTAATGAATCATACACTTCCCCAACTTGAAATCGAATGGCTTTAACAGCGTCAACTCTGCTCTCCCAACGTGTTGCACTTAATGGTTTTAGGGTAAGACTACTAACATGTTTTTTAAATACGTTCCAACGATGAGTTGATCCCGAAAAAAATACATAAATCTCTTGAATTAAACCAAAAAAATTAACGGCATCTAAACAGCAATTCGCAGCGTCGTTTAAAACTAAATTTAAGCAATGGGCATTACATGGAACGTAAAATGCTCTTGAATTAATTTCTCTCACTCTAGCTTGAACGCCACTATTTTGACCTCGCATATTTGAACCATTGTCGTACCCTTGGCCTCTCATGTCATCGATAGGTATATCTAAGTCTTTTAGTTTTTGAATAAGAACATTTGTCATGTTTAACCCAGTTGTGGAATGTAATTCGATAAAATCTATGAAATGTTCATTCACGGAAACGTTTGTATGTTTTTCATTCTTATTGATACCTTCTGTAGTTGTAACAAATCTAAATATCATAGTCATTTGTTCTTTGTGACTTATGTCAGGAGTACAGTCTAATATTATTGAATAATATTTGGCATTTTTAAGAGCAGATATGATTTGTAAATTAATTTTTTTGGATAGTAATTGAATAATTTCATTCTGGATATTTTTACCGAGATAGTGGGAGTGAATTTCTTCAGAAGTTATCCTTCTTATGTGCTCTTTCATAACAGGATCATATAGACCCAAAAACTCAATCATTTTTAAAAAATTACCATTATGAGGTGTATTGAGTTTATCAGAATCGCCTCTTAGAGGTAAATTTTGTCCAGCCATAATTTTAATAAGTGATATTATACGATTAATAACAGCTTTCCAGTGTTCAGTTTCCGCCCTAATAATCACCTGGTTAACATCATCTATAGTTTTTCCCATTTTCACCCTTATTTCTAATTCTTTCCAATTTAGTAATGCATTTTTATGATTAGGCGAATTTTCGTGATTTTTGAGAATATTTCCTATATTTTTCCAATCTCGATTACCATGTGTAGCAAGAGAAAATGTACCAGATTTAAACAATTTACAACAGAAACAAAATACTGAATCAACATCTTTTGAATACATAAGCCAAGTACGCTGTATGTTTTCACCATTTGATAGAATTCGATAAAAGTATTTACTAGAAAATGATCTACCGTCATCATTTATAGGATACTGAGTTAAAATAATCTGAACTGGGTTATTAAATTTTTTTACTAATATTAACCTATGTCCATCATTCAATGGATCAGGCCATTTTGATGGATCCTCAAAAAATGTAAGGTCAATGCTATCATCAGAGACGATATTAATATCATCTTGAACATTATTTGAGATATTATTATTAATTATTTCCTCACAAATCGTGTTGTTATTATTAATATTTTCAGGATCTTCAACATTATTTGATTGATGCTCATTATCGATATGACTTTTTGAGACGTCATTATCAATTATTTTCTCACAAATCGTACTGTTATTACTAATATTTTCAGAATGAAGCGTAAAGTTATTCACAGACAAATTATGTTCGATTTGTTGATTTGGTTTTAAAAATTGAAGAAGACCAACCCGTTGCTTAGCAGAATCTTTTTCTCGTTCAATTCGTTTTTTTTTATATTGTGCACCCGATAAACGTTGCCGTTTATTCCCTTCTCCTGACATTTTCAAACTGTAGACTCTACAAATAAAATATAGTAGTAAATTTGACGTTTTGTTGAGTTTTTACTATGTTTTATTTTTATTGATAAGTGATAACTATTTAAATATGTAACATCGCACATATGATATAATTGATTAAAAAAATTTGACAGGTAATATTTAATTTAATGTTAAAAATATAAGTAACCCAAATGTATTTATATAACATTTATTATAGTGTTGCACATTACGTATAGTTTCGACTTGTTAATAAAAAAATCGTATTCTCTAAACTGAATATTAAATTAAAAAAAAATTGTATTAATTATACCTACCTATTTAAATTTAAAAGTTGATGAATATCAGGATATTTCTAGTTAAATCACTTTAATATGATAATATTACATGGTAATATGAATTATATTTTCTAAAGATAAATAAGTTAAGTAATTTTAAAATATAAAAAGAAATGAAAATATAATAGATAAGTACAAGATTTATATATAGACATAAGTTTTAATATTTGGTCATTAAATCATTATTTGAACATTAGTTTTATAAATATGTACGATGTACCGATAGTATTTTACTTACTTAAGAAATCAACTGAATTTCAATTTTGCTTGTGTGTTGTGTCAGCCGTCAAGAATCGAGCACGAGTCACGATGAAATAAAAGTTAGATACAAATTATACGAATATACAATATACAAAATGCTGCTGATGCGATTAAAATATAAAACAAAACCGTAACATGATTTGACATGTCCAAACTGGAAAGCGAGTGCGTCCGATGCGTTATCGCATCGGCCGTACTCGCCGGTCAAGTTTGAACTTTAAAAATAGTTTTGTTTTTCATCGCATTGGCCTTACGAACATTGACAGAACGTTATAAGTATTTTATTATGTATTTATAATTATTATATTATATTTTTTAAAGTATTTCATTGTACTAAATTAAATTACATTTTTTAAAATGCCGGCATGCCGCCCCTGTTAAAGTGCCGCTCTAGGCAGGTGCCTAGCTCGCCTATGCCTTGAGCCGGCCCTGGTAAGGCTAAAATATATGCCGAAACGAATTCATCTGAAATATAGAGGTATGTACCTACATAAGATCCATCATGGCTATATTGGACCATAATTACAATACAAATAAACAAGTAGTAGGTGATAAAATGGTATACTCGAAACCGTTAGGGAAATACACAATAAAAAATGTATATGAGCGTACTGATAATGATTGGCGAAAACAAATTATGGAAGATGTACTCGTTTGGCAAAAAAAACAACAAACGAATTTAATATCATAACAATACCAGAAGAAATTGAAATTCCTAAGTCCATAGCTACAATACCAAGACCAAATATTGAAGAAATACGGTCTAAAAGATATTCGAGATTTAAAATTTAATTTTATAATATTTTGTTCAAAATGATTATATTGTTATTTTTAGTTTTTAGAACAATAAATATATTATATTCATCTAATCATTTATATAAAAGTATATATTTATGTGAAATATCAAAATAATATGACATCAAGATCAATTCTAAATTCTAATATCATTGTTAATAGAGGTAATACAAATTAATTACGTACATTTAAATTTAGTAAAACGACAAAACGTACACTAACATTTATTAAAACCCACTGACTTATGATAATTGTTTTAATTTTTAATTTTTGTTGAATATAACAAAATATATAAAAAAAATAACCAAGACCGCTTCGGCGATTCCTGTGTAAAAGTATACGCCGCCGCCGCGCCGTGTGATCTTGTGACGTCACGCGCCTATCTCTCTTTGGCTCTAGCGAATCGACGTATACAAATTTTAGTACCACCGTTAGTTATATTAATTAATTATCTATTAATTGAACCAAAGTCATTTTTTTTTTGTTTCATGGTCCTTTAATGTTGTGAAAAGGTGATGTTCTTTCAAAATCTGTTTGATTTTATATGCATCATTCAACATTATGTTGAACGCGAGGTTT